ACGCAGCTTTCCCGGAGTCCATTGTATGCATCATTATTTCCAGAGTAGGACCGTGGACGTGGTACATTCCCAGAAATTTCGCCGGCATCGTCAGTGAGTCTCGTCATTTTTAGCACCATATTACAACTCGTCAGAGACAATCCCATTATAGATGTGAAAATACATAGATCTGGCATGCCTTCAATATATCATCTGCCCTGACTTACTAGCACTCGTGTAATGGAGTAGTAAAGGCGGGACGATACTTACGACCTGGTGTCGAATCCCGCAGGTGCTGATGAGGTCTAAGCGAAGTAGAAATTACAGTCCATCCTGAATCGGATAAGCACTTTGGAGGCAATGAAATTCAATGACAGTGAGGCCCACATATCTCATTGTGGCAAAACCCCAACTATCAAGCCCTGAATCCCCTTAGGCGTGACTAGGCCCTAATTAAAAAATTCATCGTATTTTGGTTGACTATAAAGATATCTTAAGTTTGCTATGCTGTGCTCAGAAAGATAAAATAATTCAGTTATTGCAGAAATTTTATAAAACAGAGGCTAGTGATTTGTTAATAATTAGAAGAATGACCATTGGTATCGACGAAAATGCGAAAGCCTTGTTTGATAAATTCGCTCGATGACATCAATGCAGTGTGTGTTTGGGAGAATGAAGCGATATGCAGGTCCCTAAACGTATAATTTTTTTCATAAAAATGTAAACAATGTAATACATATAAAAAGCGAAGTCGTGTGGAGATTACCCAATCGTGATTTTGGAAGAAAAGGAATGCTGCGGTCTGGAAATAGTCTCAGTTTGACATATTCGGCCCCATTTACAGTGTCCGAGTGCGAAAAACAGGCTTGTTCGCTTGCTTTAAGGCTATGTAGGCTGGCGGCAGTTCGATGCAGATCTGAAGGCAAAGGGAGGCTAGCAGGAGTATAGCTTTGCGATATATTTATATGTGTGGTAACATGAGAGGCAATCTTTTCATTTTGTTTGTCTAAGTCGGCTAGGGCTGAGTCATGCAAACTGCTAGCAGAAACTACACTATCGGCCGGCATGCAATCAGAGCCAATGATATCTCCAGACAAAGCAATTGGAAAAGGCGGGGTTTCGGACCGCCTGATCAGAGATTGCAGATCTGGTTTAGGGGCCTCTTCTTCTTGTAGCTGAACTTGAAGCTGGAGCTCCGATTCAACAAGAATAGAGCCGCCAGTGGAGGAACAGTTGGTGATGAGTGGTGTAACCCCCATTCCGGATGAATTAACTGCAGTAGATAAGGCGCGTGAAGGACGGATTGAGCGAGAAAATCCATCAGGTGGGTCAATAGAATACAATGCTTCGCCTGAAA